CATATCTTTTCCGATGACTTTAGCACTGTTAGCTGATATAGAAGAAGTTGAGTTATGGTGAAATTTAGGGTCACACTTTGTACCTTAAATTCAGATCTTCAAAATATCAATGAAGACCGGTTAACTCTATCTCTTTCTAAAGAACCGACATTCGTTTTATGACAATAATCATATATTTTATATAGATATTAATAACTATAGCTGATATAAAAAAAGATTCACCTGTTGGATTATGAGTCTTATGGGGACCAAGATCATCAGGTTTTTGTAGACATATTTCGATTGTGAAATATCAGCAGGACTATTGTAGATCCTGCAATACTTTTATAAACTTATTGGCTCTGTTCGGCCCACATTTGTTACAAACTATGAGAATTCCCCGTTACCTATACATAATTTTCACTTTTTATTACTGATTAAAATTGACATAAATATATTTATCATTTCAAATTAAACAACAACTCGTTTATTTTAAATTGATAACAAGTAAATAAAAGAGAAAGAGGTAAATTAAAGAAAAAGCAAAACAAAACATTATTGATAACAGCCCACTCAATTCAAAATACATATAAATAGAAAACCCCCCCAAAAACAATGTTGCTATAAGATTAAAGTGCAAATGAAATTATGCTCAAATGAATTTTACTTGTGTTTTATAGTCTTTTTGGGAAAATTACATTAAATATACCTTTTTTATCTGTGTGTATTATTTTGTTGTAAACATGAATTATAAATTATAATAAATTTAACCGTTAAAGTCATTTATTCCATTCATTGTTTCTAACACCACCAGTGACCCAGTGAAAAGCAAAGAGACAAGAAATCAAAAATTACAAAAACAATAGTTAAAATTACTAACTACCTATATACATATATTGGGTATTATGATGATGATGATCATGAATTAAATATGTATTTGTTTTTTTAAACAAATATGTACAATGTAAGTAATTTTAGTTGTTTACAAAAAACGAACGAAAAACATTGTTGTTTTCTTTAGCTACAACAACAACAAAAAATGAAGTTTTTCATTACCATTACTACAACAAAAGATGAGGAAGTTTTGAAGAAAACTTTCTCCCTTAAAAAGTGAAATAATTATAAGAAATAAGAACTCGGTTTTAGTAATTTATAAAATATAATTACAAATTATTATGAGCATCGGAAATGAGGGTACAATCTTTTCATAGTATAACATATTGGAGCTCGTATAGTTTATGGATTCCTATAGAAAGTCAGATCGAAAATTACAACTTCTTTATTCAAACTCCGGAGATGATTACGCTTAATCTTCTATGGGAGACCTTTTGTATATTTGATATGCATCAGATCTTTTCTGTGATAGATGTTCTCTTAACCTTTAAGAATATGATCGTGGCTCATATTTTTGTCATAAGATCGATCATTTTGTGCTCCGACTTCGGAAAGTTTGTACACAAACTTTTAGAGATCAAGCTTTAGCTGGGTGTTTAAGGGAAATCTTGATGTCGCAAAACCTTCAACCTTCAACGATTCCACGATCGTAGAAAAGCTCATATATCAGATTGTATTGTTAGACGAATCTGTGTTTCGATTTCTGTAAGTTTATTTTCAGAATATCCTTTAAAGAATATTTTTTTTTTAACGGTCCATCTACAGTTAGGTTTCTATAACAAATTTAGATAGTTTTTAGGTCTTCGAACTATAGAGATCATTACGCCTAGAAGTAAAGCTTTCATGATCGCGGTAGATTATGAAAATAGCGGTTCAATATCTTTGATTTATGACCGAATTATGAAGGTTTATTCGCAGAATCTTTTGCTGACAAAAGCTAGAACGAAAATGATAATTTCTCTGTTCAAACTCCGGAGTTCGACGTGTAGAAGAATAGTTTTCATAAATATTAGTCGTTTTTCTAAGATAGAAGTTCGCAGAACCTTCAAGAAAATAACATCGTGTGATCTCATATGTCAGGCGGCATGGCTAGATCAGTTTGAGACAAACTTCTGAAAGTTTATATACAGAATAATCCTGTTAAAGATCAAACGTTTAGAGATTCAACTGTAGTTGAGTTTCTATATGAAATCTGGAACGAGTCTAGAACTTTGGAGAATAATTGCTATAAAAAGATCGCTATAAGAAGATCACAATTTTACACAGAATCTTCTGCTGAAGAACTAACTTCCATAGGAAAGCTAAATTGAAATGATATTTTCTCTATTCAAATTATCTTATGGTGTTGATGGCCATTGTTAGATCGGTCTAGATAGAATTTCGAAGGTATCTACATAGAATAGTAAAATATCATCTTTTTTTCTCTGTTCAAACTCTGGAGTTTGGCGTGAAGAAATTTTAATAAAGACCTACTGGATGTTTGATAAGTATCCTACGTTTTTCTAAGATATAAGTTCGCAGAAACTTCAAGAAGATTCTATTAAGCAAAAATAAGATCGTGTGAGCTCATAAGTCAGACTGCATGGCTAGATCAGTTTGTGACAAACTTCTGAAAGACTATGCATAGATCAATCCTTTTAAAGATCAAACTTTTAGAGATCCAACTGTAGTTAAGTTTCTATATGAAATCTAGAATTTCGTAGAAAACTTTTCATAAAAAGATCGTCATAGCATATGTTAATAAGATCGTAGTTTATACATAGAATCCTCTGCAGAAAAACTAACTTTTAGAGATTCAAGAAAGGGGAAGATTTCTATAGGAAAGCTAGATTAAAATTATGTTTTCTCTATTCATATTATCTTATGTTGTTGATGACCAATGTTAGATCGATCTAGATAGAATTTCCAAGTTTTATAGTTTAGTTTTTTAGTAAAGTATGATCTTTTTTCTCTGTTCAAACTTCGGAGATCCTCGTGTAGAAGAATAGTTTCCATAAAGATCTATTGAATGTTTGATAAGTACTTATCAGACATTTTTTTAACATAGAAGTTCGTAGAACCTTCATTTAATGTCAGATGGCATGACTAGATCAGTTTGCGCCAAACTTCTGAAAGTTTATACATAGAACAATCCTTTGAAAGATCAAACGTTTAGAGATCCAACTTTAGTTGAGTTTCTATATGAAATCTAGATCGATTCTAGAACTTAGAAGAATATTTTTCATAAAAAAGATCGTGATAGCATATGTAAGTAAGATCGGAGTTTACACATAGAATCCTCTGTAGAAGGAGTAACATTTAGAGATCCAAGAGAGGCGGGAATTCTATAGGAAAGCTAGACTGAAATGTTATATTCTCTATTCAAACTCTGGTGATCGGTATACAGAATTTTTTGCGAAAGAATAGTTTTCATAAAGATCTATTATTGGGTTCTGGTAGGAAATAAAACTTTTTTAAAATAGAAGTTCACAGAATCTTTAAGAAGATTCTATTAAAAGAAGAGAAGATCGTAGGTGATCAGTAGGTAACATTCTTCTGGAATTTGTATTAAAAGAACAACCTTTAGATGATAACAGTAGTTGGATATCTATACGAAATCATCAAATCACATCAAATCTTTAAACTTCAATGGAAGAACAGAAGAACAGCTAGATCGAAATGAGTTTTCAGAACGTTTAAGAAGAGAAGATCTTTTTGTTAACTCAGTCGGTGACAGTCTTCTGAAAGTTTAAGCTGAGAATACATTCATTTAAAAAACAACTTTTAGAGGTGTAACATTATATGGATTGCTATATGAAATCTAGATTTTTGAATTCCAGAGATTCATACAAAAAATATTATATTAAAAAAAAACTCAGTACAAGAGTTTATCTCTCAGAAAACCTTATGTTGATAGACTTATATATAATCATACAAAGCATCCACTACTTCTATCTTCTAGAGTTTCAACAGTGAATGCAGTTGTTTAATCAGACTAGATCAAAATCCTCTGTCTTCGAACTCCGAAAAGATCGATATGCAGAATTTTGTATGGAAGAATAGTTTTCTTTAAAGATCTCTAAAAAACGAAAAATTTTACACAATTTAAATTGGTTTAAAGAAGTTTTACTAAATCTTATCATATCATTTAAATAAAGATTGATAAAAACTTAATGAGTTCCCTAGAAAAATTCAACTTTAATTAATATTGATGACTATCGGAAGCTTCATTTATAGAATCTGTTAATCATTAATTATTATTATTATAGTAAACTCTTGCCACCAAAGTTGTTGTCAGCCTAAAGCTGTTATACAACTCTACTAAATTAAAGTTTAGCTGCTGCTAAACAGCTTTTACTCATTCATATAGAAAAACATTTCCGTTTTTTATGGATTTATGAAAAAAAAAGTAATTTCTTTATCGCTATCGAATGGTGGAGAAAAAAGCAATAAGAATTTTATGACCAAACAGAGTGCAAATGAATGTATATGCATCATGTTGCACTTTCAGCTAAATAAAGTACAAGAACCATTAGCATACAAGTGTGTAGTGAAGTAAGTATGTATATCACACATAATCAAACAAACACTTAAGGTGTTTTTATAACACACTGAAGTTTTAACAACAGCTAAACATATGAGAATCAACAAAAAAGTGTAATAAACCCAGAGACACAGTTATGAATAATGTTCTTAGAAAAATACCTTTTACTGCTATTTGTTTGGCTAGAGTATAAAGATATTTTACATTTATTTTTAACCTAAATTATTGATGCTGCTGCAGCTGCCGCCACAGTTCTAAAAGTTTTTAACAGCAAAATAAAAAATTTATTTAGGTAAACATGTAGGGAGTAGAGTAAAAATGCTTGAAGGTTTCTAGAGATCTATAAAATTTAACTATTTAAGAATGGTACACAGTTCTGCGTTTAATGGAATATTGTGTAAAAATATTTATGGAATAGATTGTGAATAGAAAATAAATTAGTTATTGTTGTTTAAAATTGACATCTTTTCAATTAAAATTAGAATTTATCAATTTGAAAAGGTATTCTGAAAACAGATCTGTAGTAAAAAGCTGTGAAAATGTAAAGATTCTCTAATCTTTCTTCTCCTTATCAAATTTCAAATTTAACAAATAAACAACTTACCCCCACTTTGCTCCTCCTGTTGCTGTTGTCTTTGCTGCTGCTGGCGCATTTTCTGTTCCTTTTTCTTGCGCTCTGCTTCCGACCAGGAACAGTGTACAGTACCATCACGATGTAAACTTAAATTATCCACAGCTTCGGGTATTTCTAGTTCATTGAAGATATGACGTTTACCAGCAGCTGCTATACGACGATATAGAGTTATAGTTTGATAAATTAAAGCCCAAGCTTGTTCTTCCGATAAAGGAGCCTTAAAAGATTCCAAAATATTCTTAACACTAACACAACCCATGGGATTATTACAGGCGCAAATACTAGTGGGTTGTGCTGAAGATGTGGTAAGACCATTATTAGTGCTTTCGGTAGAATCACTAGGTTTGCTAAGCAACTCTTCATTGGCACTATCTGGTGAAGTGGAAAGAAAACCATCTTCAGCATCAGAATGTGCCGTTGTTTGATGACATTTGCCATTGATAATGGGTTTGGCTTTGGTAAAAGATAGTTTAGTTTGTTGTTCTTCTTCATTGTTATCATTGCTGCTTGAGCTTTCATGAGCGCCTGCGTCATTACAAGTTGTTTTTGTTGAAGGCAGGTTTTGAGGGCCATCTCCTCCGCCCTCATCAACAGCTCTTTGATTATTAGCTAATTCTTCGGACATTTTTTGTTTTGTAGCCGTTGACATATGATCACCAAATGTTTCTTGAATTTCGGTAGTCATTTTTTGGAAATTGTGTTAAAATTGAGCTCAAGATCTGAGGGTCCGTTTCGCCCTTTTATATATTTTTAGTTTTTTCTATGAAAATTTATTTTTATTTTCAAAAATATTGTTCTTTGAATTTGTTGTTGATTTTGTCAATTTATATTGACCACATTTAATAATTTAATTAGACACACATAAAAAACACAAAACATTAAATTTGTTTTCTCAGGAATTTTTATTTGTTCCACCAAAATAACACTGTTTACAAAAAGATTTATTTAACACTTAAATCTGTAACAGAGCAAAAAACAAACAAATAAAATTTATTGATTTATTAATATATTTTAAACTTTTTTTGTTTATGTATTTAATTTGCTTTAAAACACGCACGTTTACTTGAATTTGTTTAAATTTTGTTTGATTAATCAAAAGAAAAATGAGAGTGATTCACTTGTCAAAATGAAATGACTTTGATTATTGTTTTTGTTTGTGTTTTCATTTCTTTTCTACTAGTGTCATCAATAGGGTTGCCATCGTTAGAGCAATAATGCACGTTTAATTATTTGTTGGAAAGTAACGGTTTTTATTTTAACTAACTAACTAACTAACTAACTAACTAACTAACTAACTAACTAACTAACTAACTAACTAACTAACTAACTAACTAACTAACTAACTAACTAACTAACTAACTAACTAACTAACTAACTAACTAACTAACTAACTAACTAACTAACTAACTAACTAACTAACTAACTAACTAACTAACTAACTAACTAACTAACTAACTAACTAACTACTAACTAACTAACTAACTAACTAACTAACTAACTAACTAACTAACTAACTACTAACTAACTAACTAACTAACTAACTAACTAACTAACTAACTAACTAACTAACTAACTACTAACTAACTAACTAACTAACTAACTAACTAACTAACTAACTAACTAACTAACTAACTAACTAACTAACTAACTAACTAACTAACTAACTAACTAACTAACTAACTAACTAACTAACTAACTAACTAACTAACTAACTAACTAACTAACTAACTAACTAACTAACTAACTAACTAACTAACTAACTAACTAACTAACTAACTAACTAACTAACTAACTAACTAACTAACTAACTAACTAACTAACTAACTAACTAACTAACTAACTAACTAACTAACTAACTAACTAACTAACTAACTAACTAACTAACTAACTAACTAACTAACTAACTAACTAACTAACTAACTAACTAACTAACTAACTAACTAACTAACTAACTAACTAACTAACTAACTAACTAACTAACTAACTAACTAACTAACTAACTAACTAACTAACTAACTAACTAACTAACTAACTAACTAACTAACTAACTAACTAACTAACTAACTAACTAACTAACTAACTAACTAACTAACTAACTAACTAACTAACTAACTAACTAACTAACTAACTAACTAACTAACTAACTAACTAACTAACTAACTAACTAACTAACTAACTAACTAACTAACTAACTAACTAACTAACTAACTAACTAACTAACTAACTAACTAACTAACTAACTAACTAACTAACTAACTAACTAACTAACTAACTAACTAACTACTAACTAACTAACTAACTAACTACTAACTAACTAACTATAACTTATTTTTTATATTTCTTTTGGTTAAATTCTTGAGAATGATTGAAAAAAGCAGTTTTTGGTATTTTTTTTTTGATTCAAACTTAACGTTAAGATATCTCGAAAAGCATGAATATGTAACACAGATAATAATATGATAATATATCGTTTCAAATAAGATTAATGACAGAATTATTTTAAACATTAGGAGCATTACTCAATCCTTTAGAAAAGTATACGTTGGTCTTTGGATTAAAAACTTGTACGCCTGTGTAATTAAAGAAACTGACAGAGGATTTATAGTATAGTTTATATTTATAGCATAGTTTAGTGTTTTAGGCCTACACCCACCTTAGAATCATACTCTAATTCGATTAAGCTACATATGTCTGTCCGTCAGATATTTAATTAAACCATATATCGTTATTTTAAAGGCAATTAAATAAAATTTGGTACATAATTATCTAGTATATCAAGGAGGAAGCCTATTGAAAATAATTAAAGTCGGACCATTATGGATCTCCAGAATAGATCATAATGATGTTAAATATACGGCAGAACAATTTTTTTTGCAAATTTAATACAGCTGTATTTTGTTCTGATCAGGCACCATTTGACCCTAGCTCCCATATAAAGTACTGTTCAGACATGAACGTTAATAATTCAATTATAAAGAATAGTATAACTATACAATTTGACTCAAATATCTCTTAAATAATATATATTTATAAAATTTCTACTATTTGTTCTACAAATATTTTTTTTCTCATTTGCAACAAATTAGTGAAATTTTGTTTACATATTAAAATTAATATATTTTTACTACATTATCAATTAAAAATTATTTTCACAATACATTTATATTTTTTAATGCAAAGCAAATTTTTGAAATTAAACCCTATGCAACTCGCTCTAGTTTTTTTAAATTACAAATTGTAATTTCAAATTGTTACTTTAAGAGTCTTGAACAATTTGATTAGTTAAAAAAAAAAAATTATATACATACATGTATATAAAAGTATTAAATTTCTTTAAATTGCATTCATAATTTAAAACTTATGCACATTTTTTAAGTTTGAAACTAAACATAGTTATTTTAACTAAACAACTAAAATCACTTTATTTCAAACATTTTTACCATTATATTAACAATTGTTTAATACTTTTAATAATGAGTTATATAATTTAATATGTTCATACTAAAAAAAAACTTTAACTATGAAACACATGTTATTTTTTATTTTTATGGCTATTCAAAAAAAAATTTTACTTTACTAAATATTAAATTTTCTTAAAAGACATTCGTATACTTGTAAAAAGTTATGAAATGTAGATTTTATTTTAAATTTAATGATTCTAATACAATTAAAAAAACTTTAAAGTACATAGTAGTAAATTTTAAACAAATGTTTAATGTATATTAAATATTAAAAGTATTATTTTAGTGTGAAATATATTATGCTTAATTTGAATAACTAAGTTAAAATTTGTTTTTTTTTTTTAATTCGTTGCAAACAAAATAAACCAATGAGAAATGGTTTAACAAAAAAAAAAAAAAAAAAAAAAAAAAAAAATACCTCAAACTTTTTTTAAGTAAAATATAGGGAAATGCGAGATTCTATATTTACTTATCTCTAATTTAGATTTAAGATCCAATAAGATATATAGATCGATGAAGTTTTTCCTGTAAATTAAATGCAATATCACATTTTTTTGCGATTTATAGTTGTCTCAAGCTTTTATTTAAGATATCTTGAAGAATTAGTGTGATATGTCAGAGTTGAAACTTGTATTTTAATGTGGACGGATTGGACTTTCAGACGACATTACGGAATTTATGAATTAAGGTGTTGTTCCGCTATTATAAAATCTCAAATGTGGATAAAAACGGAGTTTTTAGTACACAATATCTCGAAACGAGTTTCTAAGGCCAGATTCGTATTAAGCGCTACTAAATCCCTTAGAAATGTATAATTTGTCGACTTTATCTCAAATTTTGTTGTTTTCGAAAATTTTTAATCTTTTTCAGAATTAATTTTGCATCTCTTCCACTTTTTTAAACAAGACTATTAAATTTGACTCTTTTTCGACAAAAAGTCATTTGTTCGAAAGTGACTTTACGGATTTTAAATGGATTTTTTCAAAACTTTTGTAAAAATATTGCTCGTAGAGTTCAAAAACTATATAAATGTCTGAAATATTTTAACTATTTGTTTGTTAATTTCATAATTTTAACAATTTTACTATTCAAAATATTTTTTTAATTATAAAATACACAATTACAATATCAAATCATTTACTCAACTATTTTTTTTTTTTTTTTTTTTTTGTTAAAGTTTGTAATACTCCATAAATGAGGCGTTAATCTTTTAAACAAACTAAATAGTAAATCTATTTTGATTTATTTCAAAATTTTCTATTTGTAAAATTAATTATAACAAATAAATTTACAATTTACCAATTTTTGCGTTAAATTTATTAAATCCACAAACAAGTCTTAATAAAGTTACAGCCCTGGTTTTGATATGTTTACAAATTTAATTAATTTTTTTTCACAAGCTAAACATTTTTTTCTACAGCTGATTTATGCAAATTGTGTAATTTATCATTTAAGCTTTTGGCAACACTGTTGATTATTGACACTTGTTTGTTGTTATTGTCGGTTTTTTCACTAAAGAGAAACAAAATAACATAAAAATTTAATAACGGTTCATTAGCTCACGTGCCCGCAAAAATTACTCTGTTTATAATACACACGGTGACAAAAACAAGAAAACGTGATGATATACAAAAGTCGAAATATAAATAAGAATAGAATAGAAATACACAGAATAACAAAACAAAACATTAAAACAAGAGAAGAGAAGATTAGTATCGAAATGACATAAAACTATCAACATAAATGTTAATTATTAAAGGTGCAGCACAGTGGTGTATTCGGTTACTGGAATAACAGTTTCTAATTTGATTTTTTTTAGATTTCAAACTGAAACACATAATGTCAAGTATATACTGGTTAAATGCGAATTATTTTTACGTTAAGAAGAAAAAATAAACTGGTTTTATTGCAGCTTAAAGAACTTGTTTTGGGGAAAAACTTTTTGATTTCTGTTTGTCTCATAGTTTTATTTAAAACAGTCTGGTGGTAAATTGTGTAGAAACATTGAATGGCAAGAAGAAGAAGGAACAGGTAGGAGAGTAGAAAAAAGAAACATTTTGTTTGTTTTTAGTTTCCACACAATTAATTTAAGGGTTATAATTAGGGTTCTACCCAGGTATGGAAGATTTAGTAGTTTAGTACTTTTTCAGTACTATAATCTAGTCTATAGTCTAGTCTATAGTCTAGTCTATAGTCTAGTCTATAGTCTAGTCTATACTCTAGTCTATAGTCTAGTCTATAGTCTAGTCTACAGTCTAGTTTATAGTCTAGTCTATAGTCTAGTCTATAGTCTAGTCTATAGTGTAGTCTATAGTCTAGTCCATAGACTATAGTCTAGTCTATAGTCTAGTCTATAGTCTAGTCTATAGTATAGTCTATAGACTAGTCGATAGTCTAGTCGATAGTCTAGTCTATAGTCTAGTCTATAGTCTAGTCTATAGTCTAGTCTATAGTCTAGTCGATAGTCTAGTCTATAGTCTAGTCTATAGTCTAGTCTATAGTCCATAGACTATAGTCTAGTCTATAGTGTAGTCTATAGTCTAGTCCATAGACTATAGTCTAGTCCATACACTATAGTCTAGTCTATAGTCTAGTCTAAAGTGTAGTCTATAGTCTAGTCCATAGATTATAGTCTAGTCTATAGTGTAGTCTATAGTCTATTCTATAGTATAGTCTATAGTCTAATCTATGATCTAGTCTAGTCTAGAGTCTAGTCTATAGTCTAGTCTGTAGTCTAATCTATAGCCTAGTCTATAGTCTAGTCTATAGTCCGCTCTAAAGTCTAATCTTTAGTCTACTCTATAGTCTAGTCTTTAGTCTAATCTTTAGTCTAGTCTATAGTCTAGTCTTTTTAAGTTTTTGGCCACTTTTTAAAAATTTCTAGCTTTTGGTCTTTTCTTTACTATTTTCGATTTGCTGAGATTTAAAAAAAAAATAATTGACTATGACTTTTTTCGATAAAAAGTCGATTATTCGAAAATCGATTTACAGATATTAGACAGATGGTCCTAGAGGGCAATAATTATATGGACGTTCAAACCTTATCAAAACAATTGACTTCGACTTTTAGTTTTCGACTTTTCCGATTTTTAAACAATTTTCTCAATATTTACAATATCTCAATTTTTCGAACCATTCCTGCAAAAAGGTCTACCTTTTTAATTTGGAAATTGACTAACCAAATTAAAAAAGGTAGACTTTTATTTTTTTCGACAAAAGTTGATTCTTTAAAAAGTCGTTTTTACGACTTTTTTTTTAATTTTTTATAATTTTCCGAAAATGTTTGACTTTTAATTTCAAAATAGTTGTCATATCGATCATTATTGAAAAAAATAGTCGACTTCAACTTTTTTCCTGAAAAAGTCGATTGTTTGAAAAACCTTTAAGTAGAACCCTAATGTTTTTATTAAAAATATTGAAGTTATAAAGCGGGGGTTGAAAATAAACACTTGTTTTTGTTTTAGAATGTTTGAAAAAACACTTGTTTTAAATTAAATACACTTTTTTCACTTTAGTTTTGTTTTATTATATTTATTTGGGGTTTGGTTTTTTATTCCTTTATTTGGTTTAAAATCAATTTTTTCTATATTATATAAAATTCTCCATATTTCTTTTTTTGACAAAGTGAAGTTGTTGTTTTTACTGTTGGTTTTTAATTTAATTAAAAACTATTCTATTGGCCGTTAAAAATTCTGTTACATATATTTCTTTTAATTTATATAATTTTCCACACTGCACTTTTTAGTAATTATTTCATAAAATTATGTGCATTCCTTTATAATTTCTTTCAATTTTATTTTTTTCTACACAATTATATTAATTTAATTAATTTCACCAACCGTAACAAAAATATGTTATTTTTTCTCCATCTCACATTTTATTTAATTTTTCTTTTCACAAACTTTATCTGCTGCTCATTCATAAATTGTAGCAGTAATACATGAACGAACAATTTTTATATAAAACCAAAACAATACCGGAATACGTTTTCTTCTTCTAGTTTTAATAGTTTTAACAACCGCTTCGTAATGTTTATTATTTACTTGCAAAACTCAGACTGATTTCAATAAAATTCAAAAAATCGGAAACCACTTTTTTGTTCGTTAAGTGCATGAGAGTAAAAATGTAAAACTTAACGAAACTATTGCTCTCACTCTCTATTTTCTTAACGAACAGCATTCTGTCTCTCTGTTAATAAATGTAAACAATGTTATCACTTCACTTGTTAACATTGCCGGCTGTTTAGTGTTTGTGTGCTAGAGTACGTGTGTATTAAATAAATTCTCCCCAAAATACAAAAGAAATAATTAATAAAAGTGTTTAATTTATAAAACAAATAGTTGTGCATCTTTTGTGCTAAAAAAAATTTACTGCAAAAGTGTTTTCCATTTGTTAATTAACTTTGAATATTTGTGCAAATTAACAAGTGGTTCTCTGTGGATCGTCGCCATTTTTTGCAAGTGACAGCTTAGAATAACATTTTAACTTGAATGTTTATGTTGGTCCTGTTAACTTTAACAGGTTGTCTTACAAATGAAAGTGGATAATGCAGTTTCTGTTAATGTAGAGGAAAGGATAAATCGGCCATTTACCTATTAGTTCCGGTTCTTAGTAGAGGTAAGTGAAATTGGGAATTACTTAACCGAATAATTTTGAATTATCCTATGATAAAACCTCAAATAATTAAAACCGATGAAAAGAGAAAGGGAATATTTGAAGACCCTATAACTAACTAACTAACTAACTAGACTAGACTAGACTAGACAGACTAGACTAGACTAGACTAGACTAGACTAGACTAGACTAGACTAGACTAGACTAGACTAGACTAAACTAGACTAGACTATAGACTTGACTATAGACTAGACTATAGACTAGACTATAGACTAGACTATAGACTAGACTATAGACTAGACTATAGACTAGACTATAGACTAGACTATAGACTAGACTAGACTATAGACTAGACTATAGACTAGACTATAGACTAGACTATAGACTAGACTATAGACTATACTATAGACTAGACTATAGACTATACTATAGACTATACTATAGACTAGACTATAGACTATACTATAGACTAGACTATAGACTAGACTATAGACTAGACTATAGACTAGACTATAGACTAGACCATAGACTAGACTATAGACTAGACTATAGACTAGACTATAGACTAGACTATAGACTAGACTATAGACTAGACTATAGACTAGACTATAGACTAGACTATAGACTAGACTATAGACTAGACTATAGACTAGACTATAGACTAGACTATAGACTAGACTATAGACTAGACTATAGACTAGACTATAGACTAGACTATAGACTAGACTATAGACTAGACTATAGACTAGACTATAGACTAGACTATAGACTAGACTATAGACTAGACTATAGACTAGACTATAGACTAGACTATAGACTAGACTATAGACTAGTCTATAGTCTAGACTATAGACTAGACTATAGACTAGACTATAGACTAGACTATAGACTAGACTATAGACTAGACTATAGACTAGACTATAGACTAGACTATAGACTAGACTATAGACTAGACTATAGACTAGACTATAGACTAGACTATAGACTAGACTATAGACTAGACTATAGACTAGACTATAGACTAGACTATAGACTAGACTATAGACTAGACTATAGACTAGACTATAGACTAGACTATAGACTAGACTATAGACTAGACTATAGACTAGACTATAGACTAGACTATAGACTAGACTATAGACTAGACTATAGACTAGACTATAGACTAGACTATAGACTAGACTATAGACTAGACTATAGACTAGACTATAGACTAGACTATAGACTAGACTATAGACTAGACTATAGACTAGACTATAGACTAGACTATAGACTAGACTATAGACTAGACTATAGACTAGACTATAGACTAGACTATAGACTAGACTATAGACTAGACTATAGACTAGACTATAGACTAGACTATAGACTAGACTATAGACTAGACTATAGACTAGACTATAGACTAGACTATAGACTAGACTATAGACTAGACTATAGACTAGACTATAGACTAGACTATAGACTAGACTATAGACTAGACTATAGACTAGACTATAGACTAGACTATAGACTAGACTATAGACTAGACTATAGACTAGACTATAGACTAGACTATAGACTAGACTATAGACTAGACTATAGACTAGACTATAGACTAGACTATAGACTAGACTATAGACTAGACTATAGACTAGACTATAGACTAGACTATAGACTAGACTATAGACTAGACTATAGACTAGACTATAGACTAGACTATAGACTAGACTATAGACTAGACTATAGACTAGACTATAGACTAGACTATAGACTAGACTATAGACTAGACTATAGACTAGACTATAGACTAGACTATAGACTATAGACTAGACTATAGACTAGACTATAGACTAGACTATAGACTAGACTATAGACTAGACTATAGACTAGACTATAGACTATAGACTAGACTATAGACTAGACTGTAGACTAGACTAGACTAGACTATAGACTAGACCATAGACTAGACTATAGACTAGACTATAGACTAGACTATAGACTAGACTATAGACTAGACTATAGACTAGACTATAGACTAGACTATAGACTAGACTATAGACTAGACTATAGACTAGACTATAGACTAGACTATAGACTAGACTATAGACTAGACTATAGACTAGACTATAGACTAGACTATAGACTAGACTATAGACTAGACTATAGACTAGACTATAGACTAGACTATAGACTAGACTAGACTATAGACTAGACTAGACTATAGACTAGACTAGACTATAGACTAGACTGGACTATAGACTAGACTAGACTATAGACTAGACTAGACTAGACTAGACTAGACTATAGACTAGACTAGACTATAGACTAGACTATAGACTAGACTATAGACTAGACTATAGACTAGACTATAGAGACTATAGACTATAGACTAGACTATAGACTAGACTATAGACTAGACTATAGACTAGACTATAGACTAGACTATAGACTAGACTATAGACTAGACTATAGACTAGACTATAGACTAGACTATAGACTAGACTATAGACTAGACTATAGACTAGACTATAGACTAGACTATAGACTAGACTATAGACTAGACTATAGACTAGACTATAGACTAGACTATAGACTAGACTATAGACTAGACTATAGACTAGACTATAGACTAGACTATAGACTAGACTATAGACTAGACTATAGACTAGACTATAGACTAGACTAGACTAGACTATAGACTAGACTATAGACTAGACAATAGACTAGACTATAGACCAGACTATAGACTAGACTATAGACTAGACTATAGACTAGACTATAGACTAGACTATAGACTAGACTATAGACTAGACTATAGACTAGACTATAGACTAGACTATAGACTAGACTATAGACTAGACTATAGACTAGACTATAGACTAGACTATAGACTAGACTATAGACTAGACTATAGCTACTATACTATACTACTAGACTATACTAGACTATAGACTAGACTATAGACTAGACTATAGACTAGACTATAGACTAGACTATAGACTAGACTATAGACTAGACTATAGACTAGACTATAGACTAGACTATAGACTAGACTATAGACTAGACTATAGACTAGACTATAGACTAGACTATAGACTAGACTATAGACTAGACTATAGACTAGACTATAGACTAGACTATAGACTAGACTATAGACTAGACTATAGACTAGACTATAGACTAGACTATAGACTAGACTATAGACTAGACTATAGACTAGACTATAGACTAGTCTATAGTCTAGACTATAGACTAGACTATAGACTAGACTATAGACTAGACTATAGACTAGACTATAGACTAGACTATAGACTAGACTATAGACTAGACTATAGACTAGACTATAGACTAGACTATAGACTAGACTATAGACTAGACTATAGACTAGACTATAGACTAGACTATAGACTAGACTATAGACTAGACTATAGACTAGACTATAGACTAGACTATAGACTAGACTATAGACTAGACTATAGACTATACTATAGACTAGACTATAGACTATACTATAGACTATACTATAGACTAGACTATAGACTATACTATAGACTAGACTATAGACTAGACTATAGACTAGACTATAGACTAGACTATAGACTAGACCATAGACTAGACTATAGACTAGACTATAGACTAGACTATAGACTAGACTATAGACTAGACTATAGACTAGACTATAGACTAGACTATAGACTAGACTATAGACTAGACTATAGACTAGACTATAGACTAGACTATAGACTAGACTATAGACTAGACTATAGACTAGACTATAGACTAGACTATAGACTAGACTATAGACTAGACTATAGACTAGACTATAGACTAGACTATAGACTAGACTATAGACTAGACTATAGACTAGACTATAGACTAGACTATAGACTAGACTATAGACTAGACTATAGACTAGACTATAGACTAGACTATAGACTAGACTATAGACTAGACTATAGACTAGACTATAGACTAGACTATAGACTAGACTATAGACTAGTCTATAGTCTAGACTATAGACTAGACTATAGACTAGACTATAGACTAGACTATAGACTATAGACTAGACTATAGACTAGACTATAGACTAGACTATAGACTAGACTATAGACTAGACTATAGACCAGACTAGACTAGACTATAGACTAGACTATAGACTAGACTATAGACTATATAGACTAGACTATAGACTAGACTATAGACTAGACTATAGACTAGACTATAGACTAGACTATAGACTAGACTATAGACTAGACTATAGACTAGACTATAGACTAGACTATAGACTAGACTATAGACTAGACTATAGACTAGACTATAGACTAGACTATAGACTAGACTATAGACTAGACTATAGACTAGACTATAGACTAGACTATAGACTAGACTATAGACTAGACTATAGACTAGACTATAGACTAGACTATAGACTAGACTATAGACTAGACTATAG